GGTAGCGATGAGGTTGCAATCCGGAGAAAAGGAGCATTGCGATATTGGTCGATCATCGCCAATTTGAGAACTAAAATTTGTATACAACTTGAGATGATTATTTAAAATTAGATCAGGAGAAGCCTGCATATCAAATATAATCAAACAGCAACAATTCCTACCTTCAACTCTGTAAACAAATCTTTTCTCACGGATTTCAACTGCGGCAACGGCGATTCATATTCGGTTCGTTGTCTAATAAGTCGATCTCTCGCTCTTTAATAGTAATAGTGATAAGTTGGAGAGACAGATTAATTGGAAAAGATGAAGGTCACATGTTCGCAAACCTTGGTAAGGAGTATCTTGCTATCCAACGACGCGTTTCCAAGAGTTCTGGGGTTCCTTGAGTAAAAAATTCTTCCTCTTTCTAGTATACAAATAAGAACTAAGTCCACTATTTCGTCAATATACGATCCATCTTGCAAATTAAAATGACTCAAATAGAAGATTACCTCTTCCTCTGATTCACTCTCAGTTTCTTCATCTTCATCGGGTACCATATCTCCACCTTCCGCCTTTGATAGCAAATATCGAAGACGATCTCGACGATCACCTGGCTAATTAAACAACATCCAGTAAGCTTCCAACACGTAAAAGTAGGAACGCGTCTTGAGTAACACATACTCCTTCACCAAATAAACATTGTGGTTCGCCGAGTTCCCTTAACTTCGCTCTTACGCGACCATCGTCGGTAGGAACTGCAAGGGTTCTTGCACGTTTCTTGCGCTCAAACTCATCTAGTATCGCCTGATGTTCTTCGCGAGCTTTCTTAGAGGAGTCCGATAACTCATAATTCATTATGTCTTTGCCTATGATTTCAGCGCGGTCAAATCAATGATAAATTTTATGAATGCGAAAAAAAAAAAATATGCTCACCCAAGTCCTCAAAGGAAATACCAATTGAATCCTTGATTAATAAAAGAATTTGTCAATATATATTTTGAAATTTTATATTTAAGACAATATGCGTAGTTTCTGATCAATACCTCAGTAACAGTATTTTTCTTTCTACTCTGCCTTTCAACCTCCTCAATGCTGCCAAAATGAACTCTCTGTCTGGACGAAGTATTAGACGATTCGCCAGATCGTTTGGACCCTTTATTATCTATATCCATTGATTGGGGTGGATATCTTGGAAGTAGTGTTACAAATCGTTAGTTGGAAAGTTATAAATTAGCCAATAAGAATGCACGATTTAGTTGGCGACA